AGCGCGAGACAATGGTAAACTGAGGGGCAGCGGGGCAGAGGGGCGACGATCGCCGAACCACCACGCGCTAGGTCGGCCTGTACGCGTATCAACAAACTCGCGTCCCGAAGTAACCATCGCCTTCCGAGACAAATTTTTGGAGTAAATACTGCTCGCCTTCCGAAAACCTCGCATACAGGGACAATCGCATTCCGAGGTTTGATTGGCTGCATATATATAAATTAAATTAATATAAACCCCCCCTAATGTGTAGAGGATCGATTTGTGAGATTATGAAATTATTGCAGAAATACAGTTCACTTAACATCATACAAATTGCTATCGAAGTATATAAATTAACGTAAATATAAATTAAATAAATATAAATCTCACAGGTCGGTTCCCACACACTATACTAGCTTAGTGGTTCGCTATGGTGAACACACATGTACATGGGTATATACAATGTGTGTATATAGTGTAATAACAGCAACAGGAGTATGTTGGGAGGAGCTATTTTGGTGAGGGAGGTGATGTCGTAATCGTAGCGTCGTCTGCTGTGTGATTTCTCATGCAGTGTATGGTGGCCACTACTGTTTGGACACAATACCGGCTTACTTGCATAGTTCTTGTGAATAAAACATGTAGATAGGTAGAAATATGTTGACCAGACCACACACAGGAAGTGAAGGGACGACAACGTTTTGGTCCATCCTGGACCATTATCAAGTCGATTGTGAACATATCTTGCACCGGTTCAGTTCAGTTCAGTTCTTGCACCGGTGATGTTCATTGTCTACATAAATGATCTACCAGATGGAATACAGAATTATGTGAACATGTTTGCTGATGATGCTAAGATAATAGGGAAGGTAAGAAACCTAGATGATTGCCATGCCCTTCAAGAAGACCTGGACAAAATAAGTATATGGAGCATCACTTGCAAATGGAAATCAATGTGAATAAATGCCATGTTATGGAATGTAGAATAGGAGAACAAAGACCTCACACAACCTATAAATTATGTGAGAAATCTTTAAAGAATTCTGATTAAGAAAGAGATCTAGGTCGTGGTTCTAGATAGAAAACTATCACCTTAGGACCACATAAAGAACGTTGTGTGAGGAGCCTATGCTATGCTTTCTAACTTCAGAATTGGTTTTAAATACATGGATGGTGAAATACTAAAGAAATTGTTCAAGACTTTTGTTAGGCCAAAGCTAGAATATTCAGTGGTTGTGTGGTGCCCATATCTTAACCCTTAGACTGCGCAATACATATATAGATGATTTGAGTAACATTACCATACTGCACAATACATTAAGTATCCACTCAATTTAACGGCCTATATGGGGCTGTACCCTGGTCGTTATTTCCGGAGCTCCGTTATTTCCGAAGTCAAGTCAGGTCGGGTTATTTTTCAAGTAACATTCAGGTAGGATATATTTTATACTGTATAACTAAAATTAAATAAAGTTCATTGTGTAATTGCGTTCCAATTTAGTGCCACGCCGACGATTAAGCCAGCTGGTGGCTGCTGCATGGATGATGTGTGAACACGGTCTGATCAAGTCCAGATGGGTGGGAAAAAATTGGTTTATTCCTTTGTACTACAAAATAATTCATGTATCAATCAGTGATTGTTAATATTTTCTCAACAAAATCTTAGAGATGTGTTTTCTTTTACCCTGAACAATGCAGGTAATGTATTTTTAATGTTATGACACAGGCTGTGGCGGCCAGGCCATAACAATGGTGATCAAGCCTTGTCACTGAGAGCAAGCCAAGACGAAATATTTTGAGCTCATCTTTTCTCTGCTAATGATAGAATATACATTTGCAGAGATTAATATGTAGTTTTTGTTGAAAAAAAAAACAATATGTTGAAATACTATAATAAAATTGGTAAATTGACTTACTTTTAATGAAGCTGAAGATTACGAAGCTGTGAAGATTACGTCATCCTCTGCAGCGCTTGTTTTATATTGTTCAGTACTATATACAGGGTACATACAGTATGAACACTTATTTTGAGGCATTCACTTCACACAACAGCTAGCCTTACTACTAATTCATATGAGTTCTAATTCTAATTCACAATTGAAAATTATTTCTACTGTATATTTACATTGTACAGTATCTTTTTGTCAAGGCTTAAATAATCATTAACACTTAGAATACTGTACTCTATCAACACTTTTTACACTAATTTATATGCCTTTCAATCATATTTTATATCGTTAGTGGAGGCTACACGACTTTTGATGGGAATTCAGCATCGGTGGGTGCAATATGGCTTGCAGAGCATTCGTTGCCGGCGGAGGCTGCACAACCTGTCGATGTGAATTCATCATCGGCGGGTGCAGCATAGCTTGCAGAGCATTCATTGCCGGCGGAGGCTGCACAACTTGTCGATGGGAATTCGGCATCGGCCGGTGCAGCATGGCTTGTAGGGCGGATGCTGCTTTGACTTGTTGAATTCCCAGTGGGTGCTTTCACGAACCGTTGAAATCATGAATTTATCTATTTTTGTCTGAATCTGATATTCTCTGGCTAATATTCTGAGACATTGCTCTCAGCCGCGCGAGTTAACAGTAAACAGTGCAGTCACATGGCCAGGCGCAATACGTTCTAGGTCCGTGGGAAAAAAAATACCTATTACCTATACTATAAAAGGTATTTAGTAAGAAAACAAAGAATTTTGTTTAATAACAATTGTTTTAAAATATTTTATTAATAATAATTTAGAATTTTCTTCATAAAACTGAATCATTTTAAAAAAAAGTTAAGATTTAATATACCACTCTGGATGATCGCCTGGTCGCCATGTGAGGGGCTGCCGATGCCAAAACAAATCCAATACTGACCGTCAGTAATATCGACCACCAGACCGGTATACGAAGGCTCCAGATACCGATCTCCCGAACCGGTCGTTAATACCGGCAAATCGATATAAAAGAGATCGTTAAATTGAGTGGATACTGTAGCTGTTTTAGTGTCTAGCACTCTAAATTAAAGACCCCGCGTTTGATAGGGGCAACTATAGTGCAGCCACGACTGATAGTTGGCAGACCCCACCTTGAAAAAAATCGTGGCCAACATTCCTGGGTGTGTGAGCCTCGGTGCTGAGTGAGCCACCAAGGCTGATGCACGCAGCATGAGCGCACAGCACTGCTGTTCAGCTTGTGACCACAGCATTGCCTAAAAATGTCAAAATATATATGTACATGCTACTATTTAGCGATGATAGTATTACAGAAGACCCTTGACTGTGATAAAACTGACCAGGATTCTGATAATAGCAGGATTGTAGTGATATTTAGCGCTGTGCTCCATGGAGGGAGGAGTAATGTTGTGAGAGGGAGGGAGGGTGGTGGCGTCGCCTTCTGACTGTGTGTGGCCACCTTTCATTGACTGCACTCACCATACCAGTTTAGTGGTTCGCTATGGTAAACACAAATGTAGATAATTATATATAATGTGTGTATAGAGTGTAATAACAGCAATAGGAGTATGTTGGGGGCCGCCATTTTGATGAGAGAGATGCATCGTCTGCATGCCTTGTCATGTTGTTTACTTGTAGCCACTTTGATCTTTGGGCACCATGCCAGTTTATTTGTACAGGTATGGAGAATAAAATGTGTAGATACTTATATATAATGTGTGTATATAGTGTAATAACCCCACAAACAGTATTGTTGGAGGAGAAATATTAGTACGTCTGGCTTGAGGGCGGCCGCCACCAGCTGACTGTGTGAGTCTATAAGTCTATCAGTCTATAAGCTGTAGCCACTTCGTTTGATGTTCCATCTTCCTCAGTAGCCTGAGATCAGATCAATGCCAACTGCAGTAATTTACTACCTCGGATGAAGATTATATGATTTCTGTCATCACTGGTTGAGCCAGCCTTGATCATATGTAATACCACTTTGTCCATTTTATTCACTGTTCACTTGCAGATTAACCAATAATAATAATCATCTCTGTCTATTCTCTTTGTTCACAGATTGCTTTACAGATTGGCCAGTAATAATCACCATGACTGTCACTGGCTTTTTACAGGCAAAGGTTAAATAAAACACTCTTACTGGACCTGATTGTGTCTCACTAGCCTCTTCAATGTGGTTCCTCTTGTGGATCAACTCGTAGGCTTATGACCTTCACCGACTAGCTCAAATGAAGGCGAGATTGACACCAAACATGGGGATGGGACTGACACTGACTGAATCTGAGGATAGGAGTGACATTGATCAAACATGAGGATGAGATGGAAAGTGACCAAACATCAAGATGGGACCAATACTGACTGAATATCATGATGGTACTGATACTGACTGAATGTCATGATGGAACCAATACTGACTGAATATCATGATGGGACTGATACTTACTGAATGTCATGATGGGACCAATACTGACTGAATATCATGATAGGACCAGTACTGACTGAATGTCATGATGGGACCAATACTGACTAAATGTCATGATGGGACCAATACTGACTGAATATCATGATGGGACCAATACTGACTAAATGTCATGATGGGACCAATACTGACTGAATATCATGATGGGACCAATACTGACTGAATATCATGATGGGACCAATACTGACTGAATATCATGATGGGACCAACACACTGAATATCACGATGGGATCAATACTGACCGAATATCATGATGGGGACCAACACCTGATTATCATGATGGGACCAACACACTGAATATCACGATGGGATCAATACTGACCAAATATCATGATGGGGACCAACACCTGACTGAATATCATGATGGGACCAACACACTGAATATCACGATGGGATCAATACTGACTGAATATCATGATGGGGACTAACACCTGACTGAATATCATGATGGGACCAATTCTGACTGAATATCATCATGGGGCCAATACTGACTGAATGTCATGATGGGACCAAGACACCGAATATCATGATGGGACCAATACTGACCGAATATCACGATGGGACTCGACGTAATATGGCTGATATTGTCCACAGGTAGAGCATCTCCGCAAAATGAGTGAGCCAGTCAGGAAGCTGGTAGAGGCTGGCCAAGTGTTTGTTATCAAGCAAGACAAAGATGGCATACGCTCCTCCAAGATAACTTTGCAAGATGGACATCTGTATGTTCACTCACTCCTGCATCAGGCTCCTCCTGCTCATGCTCACACACTCCAGGTTACCTTAATGATTTCACTAGTCTTATTGAAATTGACTTTTCTGTGGGGAGCCCCTTCGGCTCCCTGGAGCTATTGGGCTAATATGCAATACTTTAGGCCAGGGCATTAGTCAATGGTGTTCAACCTACTGGGGACCACGAGCCCCCTCAGAGAGGCACAGGGAGTAGTGGCCCTGGAAAACCTCCTGTGGTTGGGGGGGTTTCCTTATTTGCCATCGACTGGGGTTAGGCACCCAGAAAGGTAGGTATAACAAAACAGACCTCATATGGTAAGAAAATTACAACTGAAAACTGAACAGAGAGGCAGAACTCCCTCAATTCTCAAGGAAACAAGCAAACGTCACACCATGCAGCCACGCCGCTAGTCCGTGCTGGCTACCCATCCTCAGTTCGTTGGCTAATGCAATCCGGGGGCGGTCGTCAACTCTGGCCTCGGTTTCCTCGTAGTGTTTTACCTTCCTGGTGTCCTCCGCTGTTCATGGTGTGGTGGCCAGATGCACCTGAAGTGTGCCGGGGCTGCATGCGCTTTGGGTAGCCTTCCCTAAGTACCCTGTGAGTACTACCCTTGCATGTTAGGGTTATCTTCCCTGATGCTTTTGAGACGTCATTTCCTTAGGGGTTTTAGTTACTCGGCATTTACCCCGCCCTTGGGGCCAGCTGGGATTTTGTGGCCCTTGTTTGGCCTTGGGTAGTAAGTGGTATTGTTGCTGGTTGGGGCGACAAGTGTGTTCAGCCAGCTTACCTATGCAGCGGCCAGTTCTTGTTTCCTCTGGGGACGTTGTCCTTTTGCAGGGTTTTTCTTTTACTTTTTGTTTTGTGTGCCTGGTGTGGTTGTAGGACCACTTGTAATATTTTGGTGGCCCTCCATTAGTCCCTCATGATTGTACATGTTGCAGGGGTTTCAGTGTTTTGATCTCCCCCTTGTTAGCTTTGGGTCTAACTGGTTAGCAATACCTTGCCTGGGCTTCACGTAGCAGTCAGCCTACAGGCCCTGGAAAACTATGTCAGGGCTCGGTGGACCTATGGATGCGTCTTCCAAGTTCCAGCTTGCCTTGTGTGAGTTTGAAAGTTGCTGTGTGCCCTTGTCTCAGGGTGACAGTCACTGCTTTTGCCTCCGTCATGCCACCTGTTGGGTCCTCACCTACCTTGAGGTTACCTTGAGGTGCTTCCGGGGCTTAGCGTCTCTGCGGCCCGGTCGTCGACCAGGCCTCCTGGTTGCTGGACTGATCAACCAGGCTGTTGGACGCGGCTGCTCGCAGCCTAACGTATGAGTCACAGCCTGGTTGATCAGGTATCCTTTGGAGGTGCTTATCCAGTTCTCTCTTGAACACTGTGAGGGGATTGCCAGTTATGCCCCTTATGTGTACAAAGGTGGTCACCAACACCTTTGACCCGGAGTCTTGCTCTTTGCTTGTTCTCCAATTTACCTATTCTGATGACATTGATATTAAGGTACAGGTAGCAGCCACATTGCATGCTTGATTTAGGGTGCTGTAATGTGCTAGGTTGGTTGCCCACCCATATGTCCCAAGGCTGCCCCGTTTTGGTTATAGGGACCCGGATTTGGGAGTTTTAGTCGCTTCGACTTTGGTTCAGTCCGCTCTCCCTGGTCCTTTCCCTGTTGTTCGTCCTGCCCCATACGTCTGAGGGATTTCCAAAGTCGAAACGAGGTTTAGATGTTAATGAGGCTCTGGGAGCTTTGGGGGCTGCCCTGTTCGGGTTGGGGACTGAGGCAATCGAGGCAGTTCTTCCTGCTGAGGCTTCTGGGTCCCATCAGCAGGGCCCCCTTCTCTTCAGCCTTTTCCCTGGACTCTGCCTTTTCTTCAGGGTATGGAGGACTGCTCTGCCCCGGCTCCCAACTTCAGAAATCCCGGGGCTGGAGAGAAGTTGATTTGGGGGGGGGCCTTGGGCCCCCTTTGACCCCGCTTGGGTGTTATAGCCCTCGTTGTGGGGCTTGTTGTTGCAAGGGAGTGGGGTTTTCTTACCCTCCTTCCCTGTATGAGTATAATTTGTGGTTGGCTCCTCCTGGGGTTTGGTTCCGGGTTCCATGAGGTTGCTCGGCTCCTTTCTAGAGGTTTTCTGCTTCTCGGATTTCAACTAAGGAAGTTTGGGAGGTGCTTGCTGCGTACCTCCTACGAGGGAGCTGGTCGGCCGAGCGGACAGCACGCTGGACTTGTGATCCTGTGGTCCTGGGTTCGATCCCGGGCACCGGCAAGAAACAATGGGCAGAGTTTCTTTCACCCTATGCCCCTGTTACCTAGCAGTAAAATAGGTACCTGGGTGTTAGTCAGCTGTCACGGGCTGCTTCCTGGGGGTGGAGGCCTGGTCGAGGACCAGGTCGCGGGGGACACTAAAAAGCCCCGAAATCATCTCGAGATAACCTCAAGATAACCCGGATTCTGCCTGTGATGGATTCGTCCTCATTTGAGTTCGGTTCTTCTTCCTCGTATTGGGTGCATTTGGAGGTTCTGAAGTGTTCCTGGCTGGGGAGACTGCCCATTCTTATCATTGGAGGCATGGCATGGGTTCTGTCGAACCCACACGCTTGAATGGCAAGACACTTTTATTTATCTGCAGGTTTATCTGGGGTGGTGGTGGTGGTGGGGGGGGGGGGGCAACTTTTAGCACCTCAATGTGTGCCTTGTTCGTCGCTGCTTCCTCCTGATGTTGGCCTTGTGCAGCTGTATGTCCGGATGTTGGCCTTGTGCAGCTGTATGTCCGGATGTTGGCCTTGGGCAGCTGTGTGTCCGGATGTTGGCCTTGTGCAGCTGTGTGTCCGGATGTTGGCCTTGGGCAGCTGTATGTCCGGATGTTGGCCTTGGGCAGCTGTATGTCCGGATGTTGGCCTTGGGCAGCTGTATGTCCGGATGTTGGCCTTGGGCAGCTGTATGTCCGGATGTTGGCCTTGGGCAGCTGTGTGTCCGGATGTTGGCCTTGGGCAGCTGTGTGTCCGGATGTTGGCCTTGTGCAGCTGTATGTGCAGCTTTCCTCCCTTTCAACATCTTTAGCTGATGATGACTTGGGCACCCGTGGGCATTTGACTTAGGTCTTTTTTTTTTTTTCCCTTCTCGAGCTGTCCTTGAAATGGCTTGAAGAGGATGTGGAAATATTGGGTGCTGGGCCTTCGTCTGCAGCACTGGCATTGACAGTTAGGGCATCGGCCGCACTGATGAAGTTGTTTGCACCGATTCTCAAGGAGGCGTTGTCTCTGTTTTTTGCTTCTCACCTTGCATGCCGGCTGGTGGCTCCCTCTCTCTGGAATCCGCTTGGGCCCTAGCTCTTAGGTTTTCATCGGCTTTCTGGGCGGAGCCTCGTCGGTTCCCGGAGCTATCTAGGCTGATATGTTAATGCCAGACTTTGGCATCAGTCATGTGTGTGGAGTTCTGTGGGCCTACCGGGGACCACGAGCCAGAACCTGGCCCCCCTCACAGAGGCACGAGGAGCAATGGCCCATAGAAACCCCCATGTGGTTAGAAGCATTCTATGGTTGCCATTGATCGGGTTAGGCACCCAGAAAGGTAGGCCGTCCCAAAACAAACACCTATTCTGGTGAAAATTGCTACAAAAAGCCGAACAAGTGAATAGAACTCCCCAAACTGAAATGAGCAAGCGAGTATGACATCACACATCACTGCACGGCTGTCTGCGCAGCTCCCCCCCTTCCCGGGAGGGGGAAGGCGGAGCCCCAGACCCCCGTGCCGGCCATCCACACCCCAGTTCTGAGGCTGATGCTATAGGCAACGGTCGTGTGCTCTGGCTCCAGTGGTTGTTTCAGCACTGTGCCTTGTGTATGTGGTGACTGTCTTCTAAGTGGTGCATGAGCCAGAAGTGATTCTCCAGTATTCGGGCTACATTTGCCTAGGGTTTCCTTCCCTACGTGCCCAACAAGTACTGCCCTTGGGGCCTGGGGCCACCTTCCATAAGTTCCTTGGGTTCTGCCTCTGCTAGGTTGTTTACTGCTTGGTTTTTGGCCGCCCTTTGTGTGCTAAGGTGTTCTGTCTCCCTTGTTCGCCTTAAGGGTAGGGGGGCAGTTTGCACTGGTCAAACGCAGTATGCAGGGTACTGTGCAGCTTGTTTTCACCAATCATAGCAGCCGGCTCTGTTCCGCTTGGGTACGCTGTCCTCTTGCGAGGTTTTCTTTTTCTTTGCCTGCCTGGTGGGGGAGTCTGCCTTGGTTATTGCTCCCTGTGTACTGAGTTCTCTTCTTCTGATGGTTCCCCCTGCTAGGTCCCCATAAGTGTACACTTCCCGGGGGTTCATTTCTTAGAAAGTTGTTTGGTAGACTTGGGCGCTGGTTAGCAGTACCCTGGCTTCCCTGAGCGTGAGTTCCGTCTCAGAACCCTGGGAATCCCCATGGGGGCGCGTGGGTCCGATGGATGTGACTCCTGAGTTCCCCCTTGCTTGGAGCGAGTTTGAGGGTTGCTTTATCACCTTGTCTCAGGGTGACTCACTTTTTCCGTGGTGAGCCCCTACGGCTCCCTGGAGCTTATCGGGGTAATGTATGTTATATTAGACCGGGACATTAACTATAGAGTTCAGACCTACCAGGAACCAGCGCCAGAACCTGGCCCCTTCAGAGAGGTTTCAGGGAGCAATGGCCCTGGAAAACCCCTTTGTGGTTGGGGTTTTCCTTATCTGCCATCGACCGGGGTTAGACACCCAGAAAGGTAGGCATAACAAAACAAACCCCACATGGTAAGAAACTAAAAAAAAATCGAACAGAGGTAAAAACTCCCTACAATCCCATGGAAACAAGCAAACAAGCAATTATCACAATTTACTGTGGCGCCGTATGTCCGCTCAGCCCTCCCCTCCCCGAGAGGGGGAGGGGAGGGGGCCCGGACCTCACTGGGCCGGCTGCCTTCAGTTTGTAAGCTAGTGTCAACCGGGACTGATGCTTCTCTGGCCTCAAATTCCAGGGCGGTGTTTGCTTTGTGTGGCGTTCTCTGCTATCTTGGTGTGGTGTGTGGTGGCCGAGGAGTACCGCATCAGTGCCGGG